AGTCTTCATATAAGCAGAGCAGATGATATTAGAAACATGCAATGCACCTACTTGATAAGGTCATCCTCTGGGACATGGCTTGCATCAGGGATCCAGGATGATACATCTGTTGATTCTTCATTACTGGACTCTTCCTCACTGTGAGTCTGGTGATGAAGCATCACGTCCAGCATCTCAGTGGTCAGCTGGTGAATCTCACTGGCATGGCTGTTGGCAACATGTTTGTGGACTGATGATGACTCTCGGAATGACTGTCCACAGCAGTGCCAAAGAGCTGGTGAGCTGTTTTCACAGGTTGGAGGAACTTTCTTGGATGCCACAAATTTTGCAAACGTCTAAACACCGTGGGAAAAGTACTGCTATTAAACACTACAATCATCATGATATCAATAAACTTGATATTCATTGAAAATGATCACCGTACTCACCCTTTTCTTGACATGAGAGTACAGTTTCCTTGCTGCTGAAAAGTCAGGTTTGTCTGCTTTATGGACCTCTGAACCAAGACTCTCAACATCCAAATCAACAAGCATACTTGCCATTATAATTGTAATATTGCTCACCAATAATTGTTTATGAGAGAAAACCAACTATTACCTACAGTTCACAGTCCAATAATTAAAAAACTAAACGCCATCCTAAAAACCATCATATAAAGAAGTTTAACCTATTTTCATGCAATTTATGTCGTTAATGCTTGACCGGTTTATTAAACACTACCGGCAGGTTAATAAAATAAAATTGATTTGACGTGCATTCACGGCTTGTGGAGATAAAATGAGTCGCGACTCGCTTCTACCGGTGTCCGATTCGCGAACGAATCATTCTTTTGACTCGGATCTTTTCATTGAATCCGATTCTAAATGACTTTTTTATCAGGTAAATTATAGCTGCAACAAACTGAACTGGGACGGGTTGACTGACACACTTATTAAAACAGCAACTTTAAAGCGTGTTTTTTACTCTGAAAGATTAATTAATATGATACACTTCCGTTCAATTGCAAACATTAAATGTACAAATATGAGCACAAGTAAACTACTTGCGAAACAGTAAAAAAAGAAAAGAAAAAATAACTACAAAAATAAAATAAACAAAATGTTCCTCAGTAAAACGGAGCTTTACAGCATACCAGGGATCATTAGCCTAAATAGTGGCGTAAAAGAATCACTGAATTGTTTGAAAACGAACCGATTCTCGGTGATGAATCAGACTTCTCACCCCGTGTCGCAACAATACACGTGTTTCCGTTGACGCAGCTGTTAACCCGGATGTGTTGCCCTTAAATCAACCGCTTTTATTTTTCTAGTGTGGCTAACGGCTGTTACCATTCAAAACCGCAAGCTTTACTGAACACAATTCAGTGGCTATAAAACAGTTCCAAGAAGTGTATGCTTAGTGGTTTTTCCATACTATTTCAACGGTCTGAATATTTAATTTGAGAAATGTCGAGGCGAAGGCACAGCGACGAGGGTGATGGTGAGTGGGTTAGCATGTTAGCATGCACGTTGATTGAGATGTGTTCATGACATTTTCATATTGTGTGTTTGATTACTCTTATGATTGCAAATGAAGGACTTACTGACAATGTGGCAGTCGAAGGGTGCAGTATTTGACTTATGTAAATAGTCTGTTTATTTGCATTAAGTGCATTTGCATTAAAAAAAGCCCCAAGTAAACAATTAAACGTTAACGTTACTTTTTGAGCAGATTCCAGATAAACAACGCACTTTGAATTTGATGATAATAATTTAGGACAGAGTGCAAGTCTCTTTAGGACATTATGCTATTAGGACGATTGGTTATTAATGTTCCTTTTAGATTTCTTTTTTTGACAAAAGCAAGCACTTTTTAACTGCTTATACTTTGCACTATTTAATACTATTTCATTGCACTTTTTAAAACTATCATATTACTTTTATTTAGCATAACAGTTATCTTTTATTCTACAACCTCATTGCAATAAGGCATTCTCAAAACTGCACCAAAGAACCCAGCTAACTGTGTTGTCATACATGTTAGAAAGGACAAATTTATGCTTGAAAAAAAGCCCCAAGTAAACAATTAAACGTTAACGTTACTTTTTGAGCAGATTCCAGATAAACAACGCACTTTGAATTTGATGATAATAATTTAGGACAGAGTGCAAGTCTCTTTAGGACATTATGCTATTAGGACGATTGGTTATTAATGTTCCTTTTAGATTTCTTTTTTTGACAAAAGCAAGCACTTTTTAACTGCTTATACTTTGCACTATTTAATACTATTTCATTGCACTATTACCGAGGAATTTACCAATTAATTCTTTAAAAATCCTACAATGTGATTTTCTGGATTTTTTTTCTCATTTTGTCTCTCATAGTTGAGGTATACCTATGATGAAAATTACAGGCCTCTCTCATCTTTTTAAGTGGGAGAACTTGCACAATTGGTGGCTGACTAAATACTTTTTTGCCCCACTGTATATGCACGCGCATCTACTTTATTATAACTTTTGATGGTTTTTAATTCATCATGTGCACTGCAGGTGCGCTTTCTCAGTGACCTGGTGAACTGTCATGTCATCGCGGCTCCATCCATGGTTGCTATGTTTGAGAACTTTGTCAGTGTCACACAGGAAGAAGACATACCACAGGTGAACATAACCTCAGCATGCCTAGCAGATCATGTTCATAGATAATCTTGAGACTAACAGATGTGTCCGTACAGGTGCGGTCTGACTGGTATGTGTATGCTGTGCTGTCCAGTCTGGCTTGGGTTGGCAAGGAACTGTATGAGAAGAAGGATGTGGAAATGGATCGCTTGCTTAACCAAATTGAGGGATATTTAAAGTAGGTTTCTCTTTTAGCTGTATAATTACTCTCATTTGCATGAAAAGATGGCATGAAAGATGAAAGTTGCAACACATTATCTTTTGTAGCAACCGTTTTCACTCGCTGAACACTCTGACTGAGCGCTTGAGAGTTTCGCTCTTCGTCAAGCAATCTGTTCTATTTTTCAATTCATCTCAATGGATGCGCAGCATACCTGTATTTCAGAGATGGGCACAAATACATGAAAATGTATTTAAATACAAAATACTGTGTGGAAAAATGTACTTAAATGCAAATTACATTAGATTTTTTTTTTCAAAGGCTTTAAAATAGAAAATACAAAAAAGGTATTTTGTATTTCAAATACATATTTTAAATACATGTATCTGAAATACTGGCCATTCCTGCGGTATTTGACGTACCGTAAACTCTAGTGTGAAGGCGCACGACTCAGCGTCGCTTTGCTGTTAGCACTGTGTTTCTCACGCATGCAAAGAGAGAGAGCGGGAGTACTGATATTACATATCCAATAGAAGTCCAATAAAATGCGTCCATCCATCATAAAAAATGCCTCACACGGCTCCGGGGGGCGGTTAATAAAGGCCTCTTGAAGTGAATCGATGCGTTGGAAAATTTCCACAGGGCTTAAAGTTCTCCAGCACCATGCCGGATCTCTGGCGCGCAGCGTTTGGCTGCGGAAAAAAAAATAGTCCTACATTTAAAAAAAAAAAATCTTGTTGATTGATATCTCTTTCGAGTCCATGAGTTCGCCTACCAATGGTATGAGAGGAGCACAGCTTTCACTCTCAACTAAACTAACATTACTAGCCAATCAGAATGTTTTGCTCCTATAAACACGAGACGCGCATAATAGTATCCAATTGCGGAGTCGCAGCCCTGATAAATGGAGAAGCGCGACAAAAAGCTGATAGGCGCAATGGTCAAAGATGTCCCTCTAGCGCATATTTACATAGAATAACTAATTAAAAAGCAATGGAGCTTTGTAAACAGCTCAGAGTAATCATGTCATCTCCATAAAACGATATGATTACCAGAACAAATTTACCGGGATTTTTGAAAAGGTCCTGTTCACACATGATCTATTAATGGTAACTTATCGGTAATTTACCAGTAAATACTGTTTGTGTGAAAGGGGCCAAACTCGTCCTCTGTTTATGCCGTGAATTTGAATTGCTTAACGTTCATCTGGAAAAACACTGTGCATTATCTCACTAGATTTGTAACGTAAATCATTTATAAACTACTGTTTGTGTGAAAGGGGCCAAACTCGTCCTCTGTTTATGCCGTGAATTTGAATTGCTTAACGTTCATCTGGAAAAACAGTGTGCATTATCTCACTAGATTTGTAACGTAAATCATTTATAAACCTTTGCCAACACAGGAGAATACATCAATCTATGTCTAAATATGCCATATATTGTAAATCGCGATTTCAAAATAAAAGTTTCTGCATGTGGCCAGATATGAAAATTTAATGGATTTAAACGGTTTAATCACGCTGTAAAGTGAAATGTCACCAGGCCGTTGGCGCCCTCTGCAGGTATTTAAAAAAAAAATACATAATGTACTTATGTTGGTTATGTTCATATTATGTATAGGCATATTGCATTATGTATTTTAACAGTGTTGTTCAGTACAATCCTGTAATTTCTTGGTTTTGATATTTTATTTGAGCCAATTATTATTGCCTCATCGCTAGTTTATATATAAATAGTCATACTAAAGCCTGGTTTTCACTTAGGTCTGTTTGTTACTAAAAAAATATCAGATTACTCCATTGTCAAAATAATCAGTAGATTACTTGATTACCAAAATAATCATTAGTTACAGCCCTAGATTAGTTAAAATATTTCTAAATACAACTGAATTGTTTTACTTTTTGTAATTAAAAGACAAATATTTTGTCATTTGAAAATTTCTTTAAAATAGTATTCAAATATTGAATGTCTTGTTCTAGTGAACCAAGTATTTGAATTTTGTCTCATCTTGTGAGCTAAGTGTATTGTCACATCCCTAGTGTCGATAAGCGGTGATTTAGCTCATAATTTTCCAAGTGTATGATACAGCTTTCATTCTTCAGGTCAACCATACATTCATGAAAAAAAATCAGTTTGAATAAAGAAAGCTATAACTTTGCCATAGTATCCTTTCAAATGTTAAAGTTACCACAGTCATTGCATGCTTTGCATGTGCTGCCCCACCCCGCCCCCGGAAAAAAGTGCAGGCTCAGGATTTTTTTTGCTTTAACCCCTGTATCCATATTTAAAAAATTATAAACCTTAATCTCTAGCTTCCGTTAGCGGATAGTGTGTGCTAATTTATTTTATGATGTTGATTATTGTGGTGTTTGTCAACTCAAATGCATTATGCTTGTAGATGACAGAGAATACAGAGGAGTCTGCTGTGAAATGTCATGATCTGGGTTTTGTTACAGGGGGCGTCAGAAGACTCATGTTTCCATGCTGCAGGTGTGGACTGCAGAAAAGCCCCATCCTCAGGAAGAGGTGAGAGTCAGGCTTCATCCATGCCTGTCACTTTACCTTTAAACACTAACAAAATGTCAATCACAGTTGTTTTCAACTGGTTTTGCTTTAAAACATCGGACAGCAAGTGGCAACACAATAGTAATAGAAACCCATAACTTGTGTTTAATGCAGTTTGGGATATATTCTATTCATGTATTTTGAGGGTGGGTGAGTCCTGCAGCCAGTCCATTTTGGTTTCTGTCTGATTTGACTAGCTTCTACAAAGTGACAGATGAATTTGCACAACTACCGTAGAGTTTGATTAGATGCACAATCTTTGACATTACCAAACAAATGATAAGGTACTTTCTCATCCTTGTTTATCACATTTGATTCATTTTATATATATGTTTTATATGTAAATAAAAGCCTAAATCATATCTGTACTTCCTATAAAGTGATTGTACCTCTTAAGACTTGGATTACACTGCTTGATTCCATGGATTAATTTTACAATGCCTTTATCTATGAAGGGACAGAAACTCTCAGGTTTTATTAAAAATGTTTTTTTTGTGTGTGAATTTGTTTTGAAGATTAATTAAACTCTTGCGAGTTTGGAACGACTGAGTTTAAATGACAGAATTTTCATTTTTGGGTGAACTATCCCTTTAATAAGCCTAATTATTTTGCTCTCCTAACTATACACTATTACATGGTAAGTTTTTCAGTTTAACATTGATTTTTTTTTTTCTTCTCTTCTTGTCAGTGACCCTATCAGAACAGACCTACCAGTCGAGAGCTGCTCTATTCTTTCACTGTAATTAATTTCCTCTGTGTGTCTCTCTGTAGTATCTGGACTGTGTCTGGGCTCAGGTGCAGAAGCTGAAGAAGGACCGCTGGCAGGAGCGTCACATCCTGCGGCCTTATATTGCATTTGACAGTGTGCTGTGTGAAGCCCTGCAGCATAACCTGCCCCCTTTCACACCTCCAGCCCACTCTGATGACGCTGTCTACCCTATGCCCCATGTCGTCTTCAGAATGTTCGACTACACTGATGCCCCAGAGGTGCAGTAATGTTTCTTATCTAGTCCTTATTTTTTTAACTGGATCTATAATGGGATGTCAGAAGACAAATGCATCATCCTTTAAAAACATGAAACTGCATTCTTTTAATTGCCATTATAGAGTGTTTACACTATTGGAGTAAGTAATAGGTAGGGAAGGGATTGTTGTTTATTATTACAGTTTAATTGTTTATATATATATCCATCTCACATGAGTCACATCTCACCAATGTTGAAAATAGTTGTGCTACTTATTATTGTTGTGGAAAGAATTCTACGTTCTACATGTTCTTTGATGAATAGAAAGTTCAAAATCACTTATTTGAAATATAAACCTTTTGTAACATTATAAATGCCTTTCCTGTCACTTTTGATCAATTTAATCCATCCTTGTATAAAAGTATTATTTCTTAAAAAAAGGTAATGCATAATCAGTTTGATTAATTTAATTTTAATATATTTTAAATTTGTTTGGTTTCATGTTCTTGTGGATGCTGTTTGTATATGTAAGTGTGTTTGATATGACCCCTTTAATTAATACATCTCATCCTGAGAACATAGTTACCCAGCTGAATTTTCCAAGGCTGTAATTATGATGACAGACTTTTAATTTAATCTTCATTAAACCTTTTCTTATTACAGTAAAGAGAGATGTTAGCAGCATTTACTTCAGAGGCTTGAGAAACTTCAAAGCTGTTGTCCTTTTAATGTGGTGGATTATTCTGTGTTTCAGGCTCATCAACTGGTTCTCGCATCATTTGAGTAACTTCCAGTTCAGATGGAGCTGGGATGACTGGTGAGGATGAGCTGTTTCCTCTGGGAATCATTTGTACAGGCTATGCATTGTCTGTTTGTGTATAAAAAGTTGTATTTATTATATTTAAGTATTGAGTTCTGATCTCTTCAGGGCTGACTGCCTGACTCAAGACATTGAAAAGCCCAAACCCAAGTTTGTTAAAGAAGTTTTGGAAAAGTGTATGAGGTAAATTTCACACAGCTTTTTATTCAGTTGCATTGCTTTTTATAATTGCTGAATGGACTCAGTTAATGCATGTTGTTCTGTTTCTTTACACTGAGCCTTGATTATGAACCTGCAGGTTGTCGTACCATCAGCGGATAGTGGACATTGTTCCTTCGAGTTTCTCTGCCCTGATCCCGGCTAACCCTGTGTGCAGCTATAAATATGAAGAGGAGACTGAGTGTATGTTCAGGCTCAAGAACACATCTGCGATTCAATGTGTACATTTGTATTTATATGCATGCATGTCTACATGTTTGTGATGAAACTAGGGGTGTCCCCGACTAAGGATTTTTCATAGTCGAATCGGAATTTTCTAATCTTGCCGATATTCAACTGATAGTCGAATCATGTGTTTTGGGGGCGGGGCAAAATACATTACCAAGAGTCATGTCAGACATTCGACAGTCATAACTACGTTAACACGCAGGGAAAATGTGTAACGGACACCTCACAGATACAAACGGGGTAAATGTTTTTTTTGTTTTGATTAAAATATAGTTAACATTAAACATCAGCGAAACCCTAAGAATTCACAAATGGAAAATGTGTAACGGACACCTCACAGATACAAACGGGGTAAATAATGTTTTTTTTGTTTTGATTAAAATATAGTTAACATTAAACATCAGCGAAACCCTAAGAATTCACAAAAATTGTGAAAAAAAGTGCTCTCATTATAACGTTATGTATATGACAGTAGTTATTAATGTTCTGTTTTTCTGTTTTGAGCTGCGCGTGCTGAAAATGACCAGTAGAATATAAAGCAGCAGGTTTTTAATCAGTGGGATTTAACTCATAATTTATCTCATATAGAATACGCTTCGTTATTTATACAACATAACGTTAATATTACGACTTATAGGCAATCTGCACAAAATGCCCCGAATACACATGAACGTGTCTGCGCGGCTCTGAATGAACTCCTTTTGTGGACGCGTTCTTCACGCAACAACATGCAGAAACGGCAACTAAACTCTAAAAATTCACAGTTTTATTATAATAGTGTTATGTATATGACAATCCCAGTCATAGTTATTAATATTATGCATTGTTTGTCCTGCTCGCACTGAAGAGATAATCCCCGTAGTACTACAATGAAGCGCTTTTCTGCAGAGCAACTCAAACAAATGCATCCTATATGAGATATGTACATATATATATATATATATATATATACACGCAACAACGTGCAGAAACGGCAACTAAACTCTAAAAATTCACAGTTTTATTATAATAGTGTTGTATATGACAATCCCAGTCATAGTTATTAATATTATGCATTGTTTGTCCTGCTCGCACTGAAGAGATAATCACCGTAGTACTACAATGAAGCGCTTTACTGCAGAGCAACTCAAACAAATGCATCCTATACGAGATATGTACACGATATATATATATATATATATATATATATATATATACACACAGTATCTCACAGAAGTGAGTACACCCCTCACATTTTTGTAAATATTTTCTTTTCATGTGACGACAATGAAGAAATGACCCTTTGCTACAATGTAAAGTAGTGAGTGTACAGCTTGTACAACTGTAAATTTGCTGTCCCCTCAAAATAACTCGAGACATAGCCATTAATGTCTAAACCGCTGGCCACAAAAGTGAGTACACCTATGGCAACTACAGTGAGTAACGCTATCAAAAACCGGGCGTCTAATGAGGAGATTCTTATTGTTCTAAAAGATGTCCCTAATCCAAACCAGGATGAGGATGATGGTGGGTCTGCCTTTTAACATCTTTAGTCTAGGCCTAGAGCTATCGATTGATTTTAAATATATAATTGTTAGAGATATTTAATAAATTAACAAAATATGTATTATATATTTACATAATTCATAATGCATGTATACACATTACATATATTTATTTTCCAAAAGCATTTTTGTATTATTTGTATTTATCTTTAATTGATTTTTATTATTTTATTAATGTTATTCATTTTAATTAATTATTTTAAATTGTTGGTCTTCTTAAAAGGTTATTACACACATACATTGAAAAAAGTTATTAACTGGTTTTATTAGATTAAAAAATATTGTTTAACATCACTGAACCAACCTATATACATTAATTAATACCAGCAAAACGAATTTATGTGGGTTAAATCAGGTAGAAGTAGCTCTTTAAAGTAACAATTGCACATTACCACTATTTACAGTTTACTTTTACTCATAAAAGCAGAGAATTTTGTCATGATACTTTGAACTTGACACTGTGTATTATGAGTATATTTGGCTCTTATTACAGATTGCTTGATGTTCCGCATTTGTATATCGCTTTGGATAAAAGCACCTACGTGAGTGATTGGTACAGTCATGACCAAAAGTTTTGGCAGTGACAACTTTTGTATTTTGCAAAGTTTGGTTCTTAAGCTGTTGTGGTGTTCGTTCACATTGTTTCTAGATTGTGGCGTAGAGTGATCAGATGCATTTAAAATAATTGCTAAAAGCTTAATTGGCCAAAAAAATTAACTTCTCACAAAAAACTAATTTCACAGTTTTTTGATCCTGACACAAAATGACCAGCTAACATTAATTGACTAATCATATCAGCAGCACATGTGAAAGTGAATGAGAACTAGTCAGGTGAAATCAAAATCATACTAATTAGATTGTAAGAGCAGACTGATTGCTATAAAAGGAGGGAAGGAAGCGCTTCCAATCATTGTGTTCTTGTTAGCAATGATTATCTCCAAAGAAACACGTGCAGCCATCATCGCTTTGCATCAAAATGGCCTCACATGCAAGGAAATTGTATACCATAGAAACATGTGGTGAAAATAATCTACAAATACTGAAGCAGCAAACTTTGCAAAACACAAAATTTATGTCACTGCCAAAACTTTTGGCCATGACTAAACGTGAATGTGCCTTGTTTTCTTTATGTAACCGCACTTCTCCTTTCTATCCAGATGAGGGCGATGGCTTCAACCCTCTGAAGATTGAAGTGTTCCTGCAGACACTGCTCCATTTGGCTGCGAAGTCTTTCAGTCATTCCTTCAGTGCCCTGGCCAAGTGAGTATCTCCTGCCAAACCTCACACAGGCCTGCCAGCGGCTGGCTCCGTGTTCCCTCTCCTTCTGCTTACAAACGCTGCCTGTAATTGCTAAAAGCACAGATTATTGAGAACGTATGAAAGCTTGTAAAATGCTCAGGTGCCGTTCTTCTGGTAAATGGCAATGGATGCATTTCTTTTCTCACTCAGGTTCCATGAGGTTCTGAAGAACCTTACAGACAGTGATGAGGGGAAACTGCACATCCTCAGGGTTCTGTATGAGTTCTGGAGGAACCATCCTCAGGTGGGATCAGTCAGACGTCTTTATTTTATATGTTGTATTGTCTTATCGAACGCCAGCCGTGGCATGTTGCCGATGTACTCTTTCAGATGACCTCCGTGTTGGTGGACAAGTTGATACGGACCCAGATCGTGGACTGTGCAGCTGTGGCCAACTGGATATTTTCTCCTGAAATGGCTCATGATTTTACCAGGTAAACCTGCAGAACGCACTTACCTGTGCAGGTGAGGTCATTGCAGCTGTAATTGATTTATGCTCATTGGTTTTATGCAGGTTTTATGTGTGGGAGATTCTACATTCGACCATCCGGAAGATGAACAAACACGTGCAGAAGATCCAGAAAGAGTTGGATGAGGCAAAAGAAAAGCTGGAGAAGCAACAGAACAAAAAGGTAGAGAAACAAATATTTTTGACTGCCAAGACACCGCATTCTGATTAGTTTTTTGCAATCCTGATCTTTGGAATTGACTGTCCTCACTGTTACTTTTGTAAGGGCTTACGTTGCATCATTTGTTTGTGCAGTGCAGACAGTTAATATCTGGAATGTCAACATTGGTTGCTGTAGTAGTAATGTAGGTGTCGGCCTCAAGCCAACAGACTTTCTCATCCAGCAACTAGTGAGGATAGACCAGACGGACAACTGGAAATTTGGCTTCTGGTTGTGTCCGTCACAATGTCTAGCCACAGAGTTGAATTCATGAGGTGCCTGAGACAACATATGCTGTTGAGGAGGGATTGCTCTATTTGTTTTTTTTTTATATCCTACCCAGACACTACTTTCCAAAAACTGCTTTCATTCAGACAAAAACAAATGTCCTATACATATATAAATGTATTTCTGACCACACATTACGATGCTTGGAATCTTTATTTATTGCTTTTCAGATTATGAAAAAAGTGTTTCCCATTCAAATATTTTCCCATCTAAAATCCCATTATTTTAGATTATTTTTATCCTTATGTCATCTTTTTTAATTTAGCTTTTAATTTACTTTTTTAGATTATCGATTTTATTAAATTAGTCATATTTTAAACCTTTTATTTTACTGTGTGTATTTGTGAAAATGAGTATGTATATTTAATCGTTACCTATGCTTCGTCAATATTACGATTATTTTAATGTGCCAGTGAAAATATTGGCTTTCTCCAGGTCTTTATCACTTTATTACAATGATTCAAAATTAAAACAACAAATGTTTACTTTCACAAGCCGTCAAGTATTTCGAGCTTGCAGCAGGAAGTTTAAAGCTTAGAGACTTCCATACGGCATCCACCCACAGCGTCTTCTGGGATTTCTCATTGGTCGATTCTCTCAAGTGTGCATTCGATGCATCCTAAGTATCAATGACAAATCTGTGTACTTTCATTCATCCTCTGTACTTGCGTTCTTTATTATTGGAATTTAACTTTGATGGTTGATGATGATGAAGTACGAGAACAGAAGGACGCACGGTTTCTCTTTTCCTGTAGCAGCGGGACAGTGGCGATGAAGAGGACATGGAGAAGAACAGTGAGGATGAGGAGGGTCAGTTGGAGGAACAGATCGAGAGGCTGCAGGAGAAAGTTGAGTCGGCCCAGAGCGAACAGAAGAACCTTTTCCTTGTTATATTCCAGGTGCGTCCATCACAATGCAGATCCATTTTATCCTGATGTAAAAAGCTTTTTTTGTTAATACATTTGTTATAGAGGCTGCATGACTACATTAAAAAAAAAGCTGCAAAAGATGTGTCCCTGTTAATGTCTCAACTCCTTTTACACCTTGTTCCTATTTGTCAGAAGAGAATAAACATTTCATTCTTTTCATGTCTTTCTCTCTCTGTGTGTGTGTGTGTGTGTGTGTGTGTGTGTAGGCTGCAGGAGAAAGTTGAGTCGGCCCAGAGCGAACAGAAGAACCTTTTCCTTGTTATATTCCAGGTGCGTCCATCACAATGCAGATCAATTTTATCCTGATGTAAAAAGCTTTTTTTGTTAATACATTTGTTATAGAGGCTGCATGACTACATTAAAAAAAAGCTGCAAAAGATGTGTCCCTGTTAATGTCTCAACTCCTTTTACACCTTGTTCCTATTTGTCAGAAGAGAATAAACATTTCATTCTTTTCATGTCTTTCTCTCTCTGTGTGTGTGTGTGTGTGTGTGTGTGTGTGTCTTTTGCGTTTCATTATGCTATTTGAAGACAGTGCCTGGAGCTAAGAGATGACAAGAACTGTTGTTATCTCTCTTTCTCTTTCAGCGCTTCATTATGTTACTGACAGAGCACCTGGTTCGCTGTGAAACGAGCGGCGTAGACATCAACACCACCTGGTACAAGAACTGCATCGAGAGGCTACAGCAGATCTTCCTCATGGTAGTCCTGATCCACTTGTTTGCCGGTCTATACTGGGTTTTGTTGGTCATTAAACATCCCTTATTTATTACCTTCAATCTTCATTGTCGTCCACAGCATTATGTGATCATCCAGCAGTATATGGGCACCCTGGAGAACCTGCTGTTCACCGCTGAGCTCGACCATCATATCCTGGCTGTTTACCAGCAGTTCTGTGCTCTTCAGCTCTGAATTCCCACAATGCATCACTTCAGACTGTCACACCTGCCTGTTTACGTGGCATTTCAAGGTTTAGTGACATCGATCGGGATCATTGGAGATGGTTGTTTTGTAAGTAGTGATATTGGGAAATCTCAGACCCTTTTTGGGCCCCTTGATATGTTTGTGTAGTGTTTCTTTTTCTTTTCATTTTTTTTCTTTTCTTTCTTTTTCTTTTTTCATTTTTCATTGTCATCGGCTCTGTGGTAAGTGCAGATCTTTTAAAATGCCTGGTGTTTAGTAAACCATGATGAAGAGCATAGTTTTACTCAAGCAACTATGGTATGAAACTACTAATTTTTATGCGTTTTATGTCATTTTGATTGAAAAATGATTGTCGAGTTGTGTTTCAAGTAATTCTTCATTATCAATGGTGTGCCTCTTAAAAGCAGATTGAGCTCTTTTGCCACTGAATGATAAAATGTCTTTTTTTTTTACAAAAATACAAAATAAAAAAAAAATTGCCCCTGCTCATGTCTTTTGTTCTTGCAAGCCTCTACGAGAAAAGAGGATGATGACTGACATATGATCATTTCTGGCTATAGCTGACAATTGTTCAAGTACTTTGTGAACTCCTCAAACAATTAAGATAAAATATACAAGACAGCCAGATGATAAATATAAAAAATTACCCTTTCTAAAAACAATCTTCTTGATTGTATAATTAATTTTATTAACATACAAATTAATGTTTTGGTAACGTTAGCAGGAATTGTAAAAGATAATGTTCAGAATAGGTTTTGAGTGGTTCATAAGCACCCTTTTGGGATTTATGTAAATGACCATCTTACTGTACACTGTCACGCTTATTACATGGCCATTTTGCTAAATAAGTAATTGGGCATTAAATATTAGAGTTGAAAATACTGTACTTCACTTAAAGTAATTGTTACCTTTTCTCTCCCAATTCTCTGAAAAACAATATGTAACTGAAGAAGAAAAAATCAGTTGTGAGTGAAAAAGTTGCAATGACATTTTATTTTTTTTATTGCGTTGTAGAAACAAAACAATTGCGAGAAAGAAAAAATGAATTCTGAGTTTATACCTCACAATTCTTTTTCTTGTAATTGTGAATTTATATCTTGCAAAAAAGTGAGATGTAAACTCAGAATTGCAAGAAAAAGTCTCACTCTTTTTTTTAATCCGTGGTGGTTATTCCAGCAATCCTTCATTTCTACTCCTACTTTAGGTAGAAAGTTAGTCCTAGGGACATTTTATTGCACTCAAATATATCTCTAATTTCATAAAATAACTACAAGCCTTAGTTTCCAACTTTAAACATTCAACAACATACTGTATGTACCTCAAAATAACTACATTATAAAAAAATTATTTAATGCATTATGTATAACAGTTAGAAAATCCCTGTACCATGTATTGCAATAAAAACATTTATGATTTGAGATTAATATTTGCATAAAACATTTGGTCTTGGTTACCTTTAACAGAAAAAAATGTTTTTGTGCATAACGAGTTTGGTTTTATGTAACATTAATTGTGTTCAGGTGGTACCATTTCTGAACAAAGTAGCATTTAAGACACATTTTCAGTGTTAATGAGGTAAAAGACTTTAAAGTGTGCGTAAACACTGTCATCAGTGGTTTTTCTTGCCGTTAGTTCAGTCCGTCCCTTTATGCATCAGTGCTGTTTGCCCAGGTGTCTCCTCCTGTTGACTGGTTTGTCACTCTATTTGGTGAGGCTGTGGCTTCCGCACGGAGTCTCCGGTAATCCGTGTGGAAAAAGCCAACAAAGCAGCAGGTGCCCAGAGTACACAGGCCTGCCATCACCAGCACTGGAACTATGTGTGTGTGCATTTAGGAGAAAGAGCAAGAGAAAGAAAGACAAATGAATGCCTGGAGCTCAGCCCAACTGTATCAACTCATCAAGGCATCAAGCAACCCAGAAAAGCCAGAAGGCTGGATTAATTTGGACGTGTTCCCATTTTAAACATTTTCCCTACCCAGGAGGAGGAAGAGGAATTGAAAATTGTGCACGAACCAGCCACACTAGACTTTCAAAGCATGGTGGGAGTTGTGACACGGTGAAGGGAGGAAACTAATCACCGCTTGAATAAGGCCATGCGCCTTTTACTGCATAACTGGGCAGTAAACACTGTGCACTGCATACTATCTTTCAGTAAATAGTATTTTAACATTTCAAATAATGCAACACTTACCTGTCCAGCTCAAATTGGCATCTGTTCCGGTAGCACATACAGATAATGGAGATTCTGCCATTGGTTTGGCCAGAGCTTGTAGCAGGAGCAGATAAAGGGCAGCCTGAATTTGTCTGATTAAACATCACATTGAACACATCAGTTCAGTCTATAAAAAGTTAGTATAAGCTTATAGGACTACTTACCCAAAAATGAAAAATTGAGCAAATTTACACACCCTCAGACCATCCAAGATGTAGATGAGTTTGTTTCTTCATCAGACCAGATTTGGAGAAATTTAGCATTACATCACTTGATCACCAATGGATCCTCTGCAGGGAATGGGTGCCGTCAGAATGAGAGTCCAAACAGCTGATAAAAACATCACAATAATGAACAAATAATCCACCCTACTCCAGTCCAATAATGTCTTGTGAAGTCAAAATCTGCGTGTTTGTAAGAAACAAATCCATCATGAAGGTGATTGTTTTTATCAGCTGTTTGGACTCTCATTCTGACAGCACCCATTCACTGCAGAGGATCCATTGGGGAGCAAGTGTAAATGCTACATTTCTCCAAATCTGTTCAGATGAAGAAATAAACTGGTTGGCCTGAGATTAAGTACATTTTAAGCAATTTTTCATTTTTGGGTGAACTATTCCTATAAGAAACATTTCTGAAACAGAATTTGTAAAAAAAAAAAAAAAAAACACGTAACTACAATAAAAAAAGTTACCCAGACACAAAGATCAATCCAGAGGATGTTGCTTCACCCACAGGGTACGAGCATTCAACTCCGAGCTCCATTGCGATGGGATATACAGAGTACCCGAAGAATCCAAACCACGCACATACTGCACCAATGATGAACTTCTGCTCACTTAACTGGGAAACCTGATGGACAGCAGGACGACAACATGTCAGGTCAAGCACATATTAACAACAGTGAAATCATTTACTCTACTCACCACCGCAAAAACCGAGCAGCCCAGTGATGTCAGACACATGTTTATTTTAGTGACTTCTGTAAACTTCTTGGTCTTGTCCACGTACAGGCCGAGGAGAAAAGCACCCAAAACACCGAATACAATAGCAACTGCACCGCACAGTCCTGCAAAGTCCTGCCACATTAAACATGTAGAGACACAGTTATCTTGACTTGATTTTCTAATACTGTACAAACTTGGCAGGTGATTGAAAGTGTTTATATAAACCATCCATCCATCCATCCAGTTCAGTAGCAGTATTAATGCTATGTTTAATACAAGGCTTTGTAAATCCAGCATTTGAAGTTAGCTAGTTAGTTGAGATTTAACTTTATTTCTAGTTATTTAACATATTTATTGGTTTATTTTATGGTTTTTTAATTTTGTTTATGGTTTGAGGTAAATGTGGGTATAATTCTTTTTGGGTTCTTACATTTGTGTAGCCCTTAACACAAAGTATCTGCTCCAGTAAGGTGGAAAAGCAAGTGAATACCCCTATTCCTGAACCAAAACACACCAGCAGGAACACATATGCTTTGTTTGTCAGCAGCTGCAAATAAAAGAGTGACAGAACGCAGTGAATCTCAGACAGCAGTACAAAATGACATAAACGCCACCTTTAATCAGAGGCTATATTTCATTAATTCTCAAAAAAATGCACATTGCTCATGCAATAAAGTAAATGAGTTGTCATGTCAGTTTGTTTGAAACTATGTATAGTACCAGTTTCACCCCCTGTAGAAAAGGTTCAGAGCTGGAGGTCACCATGCTGGCAGAAGGGGGTGTGGGGGGAACGCGTTCACGGATCCCCACTGTTGCTAGGAAACAGGCTATGGTGGCAGGTATAGCATATATCAAGAGCTACAAGTCAGACAGAGAGACGACAGGACTATAAGGGATGTGCATCATATAAGAAATAAAATAATTTTTTGCCCAAGTTCTGTCTTAAGCAGTCTTACCAGCATGAAAAGAGTATTGGTGTAACTAAGTATCATTGGAGAGAAGATATTCGCTAAGAGCAGCCCAACAGTATTAGCTGGAAAACAAAGGCGAAGAATATTACCATTCTACAGTAGGCTACAGGCATTTAAGTACCATATAAAATATGAGCTGTAAAAAGGTTACCCATGGAAGCCATCATGTTAGCTGTGGCCCTCTGGTGATCAGGGAACCAGAGAGCTGCCAGCTTGGTAGGGGCAAAGATAAAAAAAGGCTGGGCGAAGGCACACAACGTCTGGCCCCCCATGACCATAGGGAAAATGGCCCGCTCTGGGATGCAGCTTAACATGCCAATGACACGCAGGATAGCGCCCAACATGTTGAGCCATGAGCCCATGATTAGCTGTGTTTCAGGAAGAAAGTATATTTCGTAAATGTGATGAACATTTTCATCACAGCGGCTTTTTCAATTGGCTACATCCCAAATTATGTATTGTGTTTGATACCTTTCTGTGGTGGGAATGGCATTTTAAATAATTCTAAATGATACGTGTTAAGTAAATAATCTAATTTACTAAAAACTAAAACAATTTGATAACTTTTATTATACACTTCTTAAATAACACAATTAAATATTTTATTTAAAAACAAAAAGTGGATCCCATTGCAAGAAACAAAAATAATCCACGTCCAAGCACTCACATAGCAGGCAAAATATAAAAAGCCTTTATTATAAAACAGGGCTACATGTATTTTGCCTGCTATGTGAGTGCCTGGACGTGGATTATTTTTGTTTCTTGCAATGGGATCCACTTTTTGTTTTTGACATTTTCCCGCTCTGGAGCACCCTTAGTACCTGAGTACCTGAAGCGCCACTGGTCAAGACTTTTTTCTTTGAATATTTTATTTAACTTTGTTTTATATAAATGATGTTTTGCATTATTTGACAAAATAGCTTGACTGCAAAAGACAAGTACATTAACTTTTGATTAAACTTAAATTAGTTGTAAAATTATTGATTTTGACGAAAATCGGTTTGCGCATCGGAAGTGAAGTGCACGCTCGTTGCAGCTAGGTTCAATATACATTTACATGGTATATTTATATTATGCAATATAGCATAACGCTATGTATTGTATCATTTTATTTCCTATTATTTTCCCACTTGGATGTGTGTTTCATTGGATATCTATTTTTTGTTCGATTTCTGAAGAATCAACTGAAGTGAAGTGAGGTACCCAGGTGGCAGTCTACAACAAGTGAATCTAATTACTGTAAAGACAAAATGTTTTGCACTTCAAGAACCAAGAGCACAAACACAGTTAATTTAATTGAAAACTATATGATCAGTTACTTCATTATTATAACTTTATTATGATCATCACTGACCTTTATATAAACCTTTATTTTTTTTTAAATGGCATGTTGTCACATTACAGTTTTAGGCCTAACTATAATTTCTGCCAAAATACCACATTTACTTAAGTTATATTTACAATAAAACTGTGATATTAGTCAACAACATTGACAAAGAAGATGCATTATTATGTTTTTTTCCCCCATAAGGAACAAAAACTAGTTATTATTCCTTTTTTTGGGGGGTAACAGCTGGAAAACAATATTTAACAATATAGATTTGACAGTATTATCTCTCTGTATACCGAGAAGCGCAGGATTAATTATGTTTTTTTCCCCCATAAGGAACAATAACTTTAACAATGGTATTTGGCAAAAACTAGTTATTATTCCTTTTTTTGGGGGGTAACAGCTGGAAAACAATATTTAACAATATAGATTTGACAGTATTATCTCTCTGTATACCGAGAAGCGCAGTCCCAGTGTGTCCAGCACCCATGTTGTGATCAAACTGAAGAAGACAGCAACCACTATATAGACTAGCGACAGCCAGTTGACCAGATTTAGAGAGACTCGCAGATATTGTGCTGTCTGGTCGGCCACAGGTGCAAAAGTCAGCCATGCCTGTGGAGAAATTGAACACAATAAAAATGAAGGTGTAGCTTCAATGTGTACATTATTCCGATATCTAGTCCACAAAAATACAACATTCAAGAAAATACTATATATTATGTATCTATGACATTTATAAATATGAAGTGCATGGAACTGGACCAGCTTGCTCATATGACGCAAACTCTCAGTTCAACATTTAACTGCTGAAGCTGCAAAAAAACAGGAACCACAGGTCAGAAGGGCCCCTCACATGAGCTTAATATGACAAACACAGAGTGACGTGCAAGTGTATGAGCGGCAGTGGTGTAAATTGTACTGAGAAATTATGCTTGAAAATAAATTATGGGTACAGTTATACAAGTCAAGCCACATTCTAAATGAAATTTTAAGGAGTAAAAATATATTTAAATTTTCCTCCAGAATGTAACGGAGTAAAATACAAGTATTTTGTTTCAGTGGTACTAGAGTAAACACTTGATTAAGAACATTTACTTGAGTACTTTATAGGACAAAGTACATTGGCCGTAGTGAGTGAGTGAGTGTGTGTGTGAATGAGTGAGTGAGTGTGTCCTAGCACTGGGGGTTGCACGAGTTAGTGCACTCTCAGGGCTGGGTTGTGGCAGGAAGGGCATCCAGCGTAAAACATGTGCCAAATCAGTTGTGCGGATCACTCCACTGTGGCGACCCCTGATAAAAGGAAGCATGTCAAATAATGAGAGAGAGTAGGCCTACTTTATAGCCCTACTGAGCATTATTCACAGTGAGTACAGTGGCCATTTGCAGTGATGTACACAATAGCATTTATTTGTTTGCTATCAACAATATTATATGTATGCAGCAGCATGACAGATGGCAGTCAGCTGATCCCAAATCACAATACAGTCGTTTTGTGCACCACTGCACAACTTACTGGGACCATTTTTCGCATTAATTTAAATGCATAGACGCTGTTTTCACAGTCAGTGTGGAATTCCTTTGTGCACTTGGTGTAACATAAGATGCTTTCCTAAAATAAACGGTCAGTTCTGATTGTACGTAAAAAAATATTTTTGTACTAAAAAATTCTTAACACATGCCTGCAATCCAGAATCACATCTACTGGTTTAGGCTGTCATCAGATTTCCTCAAGATTGTAATCTTTAAATAAGCCCCGAATTACACCATCTGCTAAGCTTTAACACAGTGTGCCAAGACACAAGATGTAGCTTTCTCATATTTCAGATGAACAGCTTTGGACGTCTTGTACAGACCTAAACTGAGTTTATTTTCAGGGTGCATCATCATCATCACCATCCATCATTATCAGCTAGTTTGCAACCAAATGTTGGTTTGTATTAATTGATAAACTAATTAAGTTCAAATTCAAGAAAACGTTTGATCTTTTTTTTTTTTTTTACCTTTTTCTTTTGATCTTTCTTAAAATTGATGTAAATACACAGTTAAAAATAATGTTGTTGGTAATTAAATGAGAATAATTAAAATAGTTTTTACTACTTAAGTGAATACAAACCGGACAGATCATGTCAAAATTATGACACATGATAACACATGGACCTGTGAAGAGGCCAGAATCTTTTGACTTTATTAAATTTGTTTTTATTTATTTATTATTTAGAAAAAGGGATTTGTGTCTCAAAAGCGTAAAAATAAGTAATAAAAGTACCATACACTTGGGATGTGTTTTTATTGTAGTCTATATTTGTATAAATCGTATAATTCATATCTATCAGGATACATAAAAAAATTAATTATATTATATAATGTATTTTTTTATTTAAAAAAGTTGTTAAGCATAATCATTTCAATTATATTTACCTAGTAACTTTTTTCAAATGAATGAATCACATTAAATAAAGTATAATCCAGTGGCTTCTATCTGTCATCCATCCCTCCTCCCTTCCACAAAGTGTGCGCATGCGCAGAGGGGTTCTTCAGTGCGCTGTTTCGGCCTGTTTCGGCACTGGCCGGACATTTTCGCCTCTTTGTTTTACTGATAGTGGATTTAACTCGGATTCAACCCAATATCCAGCGGACCGCTCTGGCCATAAACAGGTTTGTTCCTTTAAACTTGAACCGATTCCCGCGGATCATTGCACGTATGCGTTTCCCGAGCTTTCTTTCGGATGGCAGACGGGGAGTTTTCATTTATTCTTGCTGTGTTTTTTCCGCTTGATGGCAGCTCTGCATGGCTATACGTACTGTTATATGTGCGGTCGTGCTGTATGTGTGTATACGTGTGTAAATGTGTGTGTATGGCGACGCCGGGCCCTGCAGCTCCTAACCGGGTCATCTTTTGTAAGAAGGGAAAAAGTGTAATTTAGTGTAGCTGGAGTTTCATAAGCATGCACTCCTGTGTCTGATTACAGTTCTTGTTGTTGGTTAGTTCTCTTGCCTGGAATGTTCTTGAGAGCTTCCTGTCCATCATAATCATCATCTGGCCATCTGTGTGCTGAAAGTTGGGGTTTGATTCTCTGGCAGGTTTGCATGCAAGCTAAAATGAAATCTGGGCCAGAGAAAAAGTTAAAGCCCAGAGGGTTTGTAGGGGAAGCATGTGCAAACCTGCACCCCAGACTCCTGGAGTAGGAACAACCAACAAGTCCTGCTTCATGTGTTTGGACACATTCACTTTTGTGAATGCTTTACATTTTAGTTGGGGGGACGGCAAACAGGATATAGTTGTTACAGTATAGACAATTTTCTGTTGTCCCAAAGTTGTAGGGGGACATGCCCCCCATATGTCCCATGGGATCTACGCTATGTCCCTACATGATGGACGTATTGAGTTGTCATGTCTGGACATTGGTTGACATCCACATTGATTTGGTTTCTCTTGAGAATCTGCTGTGAAATTTCTGTGTTCTGACATTCTAATAATCATGTTGACCACTGAAAAGTGATTTATCCTACGTCCAGATGTACAGTATGTTGGTTTAGAGTGTTAAAAAACATTTTTTAATATTTTTAAATGTCTTTGACAGGTTCACACGCACACACATAGTCGCTGACATAACTAGTGAGTCAAACATTCACATGATGTTTCATTAATGCATGATTAATCGCTTAGTCAATATCATGCCTGTTGTCTGATTATTTGTTGTGATAGGCTGATGAAGTCATGAGACACGCGTTATGCTTATAAGTTTAAAACACTTTTATGTCCTTTTAGTACTGGCTTAAGCATGTGGCCTATGGCTATTGCACAGTCCTCTCTAATGTGCCAGCAACAGTTAAGTGGTTTTCAGTGAAAACAAAGCCTTTCAGTTTGTCCATGTTTTTAGTGCATATACCCAGAAAAGTGAGTTCTAATACTGGTCCAGCCTGCGGTCTGGCATTAAGCAGTGTAGACAGTTATTCACGCTGATGTGAAGTTATCTCACGTTAAACAAAATGAGTTTAATACTGAGCTGGTGAAATGTGACCCTGTTTTTGCTGAGGTGTTGGCTTACATTTACAATTCTGTAGATTTGATCAGGTAGATTGAAGGCATTAAAAACTGAAAGCATCTTCTAGTTCTAGGGTAACGTGTGATTCAAGTGTGAATTCACTGAGGTTTTTTTGTTGTTGATTCAGCTGTCACTTCATAAACTGTTAAAATGTCATTCTTCAGTTTTGCTTTAATCATCTGTTCAGCTTAATAATTTAAGAGATTTTAAGAGATTTTGTAAGCCTTTTTAAGAGATGTGATGTATCAAGGCTGATCTTTTTTAAAATGAGTTTGATTCTTTTTTGCTGAAAATATTGTTTTTAATTGGTGTCAACCAATATGTTTTTTCCCCATAGGCTCCAACATAGACTCATTGGAAAAATGTGCTCTTCCTACATTTTTGCAAAACTCCAATAACATACACTGAACAAAATTATAAACGCAACACTTTTGTTTTTGCCCCCATTTTTCATGAGCTGAACTCAAAGATCTAAGACTTTTTTTCTATGTACACAAAAGGCCTATTTCTCTCAAATATTGTTCACAAATCTGTCTAAATCTGTGTTAGTGAGCACTTCTCCTTTGCCGAGATAATCCATCCACCTCACAGGTGTGTCATATGAAGATGCTGATTAGACAGCATGATTATTGCACAGGTGAGTTTGCATAATCAAAGAATTTCTGCACGAACTGTCAGAAACCGTCTCAGGGAAGCTCATCTGCATGCTCGTCGTCCTCATCGGGGTCTCGACCTGACTGCAGTTCGTTGTCGTAACCGACTTGAGTGGGCAAATGCTCACATTCGATGGCGTCTGGCACTTTGGAGAGGTGTTCTCTTCACGGATGAATCCCGGTTTTCACTGTACTGGGCAGATGGCAGACAGCGTGTATGGTGTAGGGCTGCATGATAAATCGCTTGTGATATTTAATGTGCATCTTGTCAGAAAGCCGGTTCTGTAATCAGCGGTAAATCTCCATCACGTGCGTGCTTTCACATTGAGCAACATTAACTACACAGAGCCGTTGTTCACTGACGAGCTGTGCAAAAAATCGCGCGAATATGAACGTGGTTTTGCGCAGCTCGTCAGTGAACAACGGCTCTGTGTAGTTAATGCTGCTCCATGTGAAAGCACACACGTGATGGAGATTTACCACTGATTACAGAACGGCTTTACTGAACAGATGCGCATTAAATATCGCATGCGATTTATCGTGCAGCCCTAGTATGGCGTCGTGTGGGTGAGCAGTTTGCTGATGTCAACATTGTGGATTGAGTGACCCATGGTGGCGTTGGGGTTATGGTATGGGCAGGTGTATGTTATGGACAACGAACACAGGTGCATTTTATTGACGAGATCCTGAGGCCCATTGTTGTGCTCATGTTGCAGCATGATAACGCACGGCCCCATGTTGCAAGGATCTAAGTGTTGTGTTTATAATTTTGTTCAGTGTACCTGCACATTTCACTGCAGCTTCCATCTGAAATGAACAGTGAAGTGAAACACCAACAATATTTATTCCTTTTCACTCAAATTATGTTTGTTGGGGCAGATTATTGATTAATGAAGATTTATTTTCACACTGTCCCTTGCACAATACTATGTTACCTCAAGACACGTGATTTGTAAACTAATACATTTTGACATTTGCATCAAATAACCAGCTCCATTGTATGGCTTTTCTAATGTAGTAAACTTGCTCGGTAGCTCACCAGGTACAACATTACACTTGCAATGCGGAGCACTCCGGCCCAGTGAAACATGTAGGGTGGAGTTTAGTGTAGGTGGTGTGTTATTTTCAAACTTGATTAAGCATTAACCGTTTTTTAGCTCCACTCACTCGCTGGACATTTAATTTCCGAACTGCTGCGATACGTACATGAACCAACATAATAAAATGTGGCCGAATTCACATTTGTCTGTATCTGATAAAACTGAACATGCTTTTAGTGCCACTCATAGGACATTACACTATGAAAGTGTTACAAAATGTGCAAGAAGCAAAGTAATATTCTGCAGAAATATTGCCACAGGCACATTTTTACAATGAGCCTGGATTGTTTTGTCCAATGCCTTATGGTATATGAAGACAGTATATAATTAAATAAAGGCACATGAGAAGTTAAATTAGGGCTGTACGATGAATCGCATGCGATATTTAACGCGCATCTTGTCAGTAAAGCCGGTTCTGTAATCAGCGGTAAACTCCATCACGTGCGGGCTTTCACATGGAGCAGCATTAACTACACAGAGCCGTTGTTCACTGACAAGCTGCGCAAAACATGCGCAAAATATGATCGTGGTTTTGCACAGCTTGTCAGTGAACAACGGCTCTGTGTAGTTAATGCTGCTCCATGTGAAAGCCCGCATGTGATGGAGTTTACCGCTGATTACTGAAACGGGTACAGAAATAGCGCATGCGATTTTATCGTGCAGCCCTAAGTTAAATGAATACTTGTTTTGCATATTTAACGTAATTTTTTTTTTTTAAACGGACATTTCTATATTCCAAGTGTTATCGACCAATGCTAATAATATCAAAATTAACCAAGATTGACTGATTAATTGGCCTGGCCAGTATCACTAGTTTTCAGGGTTGTCCATTTCAGGTTTTATTTATGTTTTATGCCAATTTTAGATGATAACTCTCTGTTGAAGTGCTCTAACCCTGTTAAAGTTATCAGGTTGCCTTAAGGTCTTTTGTTTTTGCCTAAGTGTTGTGCAATTTCTACTCCTCTTTCATAAGCATCCAGGGTCATAGTGGATTAATTCTGCTGATACACTTTTAGTCCCACTTCCGTAAATGTGGGTCATGTCAGAGCTAGGGTCAGAGAGGGCCGATCCAAATCCGAGATTGTGTGTATTATTCTGAAGCCATACGATCAGTGGCGGCTCGTGGGTTTTAAAATAGAGGAGGCACACTAATTGTATTGGTCTGGGATCCCTGTCGATTATTATTATTATTTGCTTAACCACTTTAAAATGGCTTTTTGGTTGCTTTTAGTCAGAAAACGTAAAGAAAACGATACATACAGCAAGATAATATAATTTCACTTACCTGGCCTATCACTTGAAGCAAACATCCATCCCTTCTTAAAAGTCTGTGTTAAAAGAGAGCTGCCTGTTGTTCCATTTAATTAAGCCGACTGCTGTAGCCTATATCCAGCTTAGGCTGTTTTCCCTAAATTTATATATATATATATATATACTGTTTGAATGACAGCTTGGTAAATCTGTTGGCGATCAAATATTCAATATCACTACTCTTCATAAGTACTTGGTACATTATCAGCGCGGCAGCAGACGTTCAAACTATTATCATGTAAGTTACGTCTCTGTGATGATTGGTTGATATCAGAAGGGAGGCTAGCCTCCCTTACGAGGTTTCTTTTCTCAACACTCCTCAGCGCTGAAAGTGAACACTCGATGCTGATTGGCTAATTTCTTTTACCAACGGAGGCACGAGAGCTCCGCGCTCTCCCGGCCTCCCCTTCCCTTTCTCTATCACCTAGCGGTTGCAATTACATCAGCAGATTCGGCACATTCGCGATAGAAAAGCGGCGCTTTCACGTTATGGTATTACAACTGTGAAATTGCAAACAAAAAATACACATTCTGAGACATGAACT